GCCCGAGAAAAGTGTAGTCTTCTGGCGAGTCCACGCACTGTACCTGTCAGCTGGCATGTCTTATCTATGTTTTTCCTTGAGTGTGGTGATTCACACTAGCCATAAGCTCCCTTCAGTATACATTGCGGCCGCATGTTGAATGGGTGGTAGGTTAATTGTGTGGAGTTGCTGAAATGCCTTTTGTGTTTTCAAACGTCGAGTATTGTGATATGCATTTTGTGTATGGATTTTGCGGTGGCAATGCACGTGCTGCTGTTGAAGAGTACCAAAGGCGTTTTCCCGATCGAAGGATTCCATCTCGAAGTGTATTTACGCGAATTCACCAGACATTGCGTGAGACTGGTTCTCTTCCGAGTGTTTCTGTGCAGTCGGAAAGGGAGGATGTACAAATGAGAAACACACGAGAGAACATTCTTCGCATGATTGATAGAAGTCCGCATCTATCCACTTGTAGAATGGCCTCTCGCATCGGCGTATCACGTATGCAGGTGTGGCGAACTTTACATGATGAAGAATTGTATCCTTACCATGATCAAAGGGTACAGCATCTGGAACCAGGCGACCATGCTCAGCGTATGGATTTGTGCCACTGGATAAAAGCTCATCCCAAACTGTTAAGTGTCATTTTATTCAGTGATGAGGCGTCTTGTACCCGGGACAATGTAAATAATTTATGAAATGTGCATACGTGGTCCCATAATAATCCACATGAGATAATGGAAATGAAATTCCAAAAGAGATTTTCCGTGAATGTATGTTTAATACAGTTATGTAGTCTGTTTATACCACTATGCGCAGTCAGCCATGTTATATCAGCACTTGCCAATCATGTGTCATGTATAGTGCTTGGAAACCCAAGGACAATTATGACATGGCGAGCGAGTATTTTGTACTTCAATTTTATGGCTTCATGTCACTCACAAGTTAGTTTGATGTTACGTACATTATTAACATTACAGAAACCACATATTCCTGCCAGTTTTAATATGTATTTTGTAATCAACAAGTGTGTAACACCGGTCAAAGTTTCACACTTCTCTGGCCATTATCTCCGTAACCATTCAACTTTGGACATAGGTGTTTTGGGTTATATCGGCATACTTTAACATAAGGAACACCCTCCCGAAGTTTGGCACATTCCTCCTGGGACACCCGGTATATGATATCCTATCACTAACGAATCCTAGCCTCTTAACTGCTGATGCAATTCTCTTATGTATGAAAAAACCTGTACCTAATTCATGATTTTCATTCCCCTTTCCATAGAAAAATGTATAGTCTCCGGGTTCCATAAAACACTGGGAAATTCTTGAGTAGCTGCAGAATTGGCAGCTCCTCCAGAAGGGCTCAGCTCCATGAGTAAGTAAGTAAGTAAGTAAGTAAGTAAGTAAGTAAGTAAGTTTTTTCTTTATGGTATCTACATTATCACCCAATAGATTCACATCATCGGCATAGTCCAACAGCTGATGTGTCCCATTTAATTTCAGTCCCACCTGGTTTCCCTGGACCTTCCTAATTGCATATTCTAAGGCAAAGTTGAAAAGGAGTGGCGATAAAGCATACTGATAGCTAACAGCCAGCTGAACACATGAGGATCAAGAGATCAGGATATTTCTGCTATGTCAAGAATCACTCTGGAGGCCACTCTCTATCATATCCAGTGTATATTTGGGGCATTATTTCCCGGGGTCAAGGTTGACAGTGTGCGAGATAACCACTCATTTCTTTCCAGTGCCAAAGTCTTGAATGCATGGAAATTTATCAAGAGGCATAATATTTAGTCACATGAATACTTTCACTTCTTTATTTCTTCAATAAAGAAATGATATATGAGAGTATTCATGATAAGAAATTCTTTTATGCCTGATAGAGTTTA